GACGAAGAAAAAAACCGAGCCAAGCCAGACGAAGAAAAAAAAAAACTCCTCCGCCGAGAGAGAGAAACAGAAGGAGAAAGAGAAAAAAATGAAAAGAGCGAGAGTCCCCGCGGTGCTGTGTCACCTAGCCTCCCCAAAGCCCCATGAACCTTGGGGGGCAGTGGCCGGGCGGCTTCGGACGCCCCTTATGCCCGAAGGATGAAGAAAAGGGGGGTAGGTGTGTGACATGATGCGTGCCGGACACCGCACATGTTATACATATCATTCATGTGCAGTAGCTCACACAAGATGGGGAGTTGGCATGTGTGAGGTGGTGGAGGCAGAATTCCCGATGCTTCGGGAGGGACGTGTGGCTTGCCTGGCCAAATCGATGTTTGGCGCTCACATGCTCTTGTTCTCTTGCAGCCAAGGTCTTTACCGCGATTCCAGGGTTGACTGACACACCTTCACGAGCACGAGACCTATGATGCGTATCGCAGGGTGGGGCAACAGAACCTCAGAAGAACACACACGCTCAGTGTGCCTGTTGCAAAGGTCTTCAAGCTTGCAGCCGGGAGTGAAGTACGACAGTGAGGAGCCAAGAACAAAAACGAAAATCAATGTGAGCGCTACCGCTGTCTGCCGCTTAGTATAGGTTCGCCGAAAAGCAGCAAATCCTGTCAGAGCTGGATGCCAAGGATGGGTATGCACGCGCAACGTTCAATACACATCTGCAGATATCTCGAGTATGCCCACTGCTGAGTATCCAGGATGGCTTTGTTCATTTAAGCGACGCCCGGGCGGTACGGATCGTTGCTGCTCGCTTCTTCAACGACTGCAAGGCCACTGGAAGGGCTACTGGAAGGGCTGTCAGAAACCTTGCCTCGACCTTTCCGCCTTGAGGACTTGATGCTGCTGGAAGTTGATCCCGTCGCCTGGCTGGCAGCGCATCGCAAGCAAACGTAAGGGCCCGTAGGCCCGTAAGCAAAGCAGCCAGCAAAGAGTGTTTTCAAGGTACAGTCTCTTTGGTCCTTGCCTTACGGACAGGAGCAGCTGCCGAAGCCCCTGACATGGCTCCATGGAACAATGGGAGATGCAGAGCCCGACCTGGATGCAAGGCGAAAGCATGGACCATCATGGAGCTATCCATGCTCACCGTAATGTTGAAAAGAAGGGTCGTGTTCGTGTTAGGTCGTGTCATCTTAACAACTCTGTGGGGCCGAGTGGCATTTTCCTTGGGAGGTCCTGGTTTGTTTGCACAGACCGAAGGTTGCTTGCAGCAATCGACATCACACCCGCCCCTTCGCATTCCCCCATCGAACCGTCGCTGAATCCAGGCAGGCTGCCGCCTCCGCCCTTCACTCGGACTCGGACCACTACCAAAGCCCACACTCCTTGCCCAATGCTCTTCTTCCGAGGTTCTGCACTATTTGAGGCCGGATGGTTGTGTACATGTCTATGGGCACCTTGGCTCAAAAGAGCAAGCAAGGCCGTGTTCTGTGCACGATTCTTGTGGGGGCATCTAGCCGCCAGCCTCAAGCACAAGAAGCCTCAACAGCTGTGGCTGCCCCCTTTTTGGCTTTCAGCCTTGTGCTCCGGTGAGTTTTATGTTGTTTCAGGTCCGTGCCCTACACGGCCGTGACACGCAGCGAGGCAGTAGCACTTGCGAAGGCCAGCTTTACAAAAAGGGTTGGCGCATGGGCAGCTGACTTACTGGCATTTGCTGGCCATATTTTGTGCTTTTTGCACCGCCTCTGCCAGAAGAGACGACTGCAGTACCAGGACGGCCACATCTTTCCGGCCTGGCTTTGACATGGGATCTTGTCTTTGGCGAACTTCTCCCCAGCCACTGCAGGCACGGTGCAAGCTCTAAGCACGACTGGAGATCCGCGAACCTGAGCTTGTCGCATCTGGAGGAAATCGCTTGCAAGGTGACAGAGCTCCACGCATACGCAGGAGTGCAGCTTTGTAAAGGACAGCCGTGCAAGCAAATGCAGCGCGACTACAGCCTGGCCACTGGCCCTCGGATTTCTTCAGGTTGCACCATATTGCATACATTTGCATACTACGGAGGAATACATCTCCGTGGCTGTGGCTCAACAGGGATCGTACCGCATTTCAGCCTTTCTACGCACGGCGAGCCATGGCGGACGGCGAGGCCGTCACGAAAGAAGTATCCTGAGAGGTTGCATCTCGTGTTCACCGGCATTGTGGCAGGATGCCCCGAAGAAGCGAACCTTCAAGAAGTACTCATACCGCATCAGCCCCAGGATTTTTTAGGAAGACTGGCGCTTCCGACAGGGAATGGCTTGATCTGCCAACAAGGTGGCATCGATCTCGACAAACTGCTCGACATGAGCAACCAGGTGGGCAGTCTAAGTGCCATGCAAGGGGGCACGAGTTGCTCCTGCCCAACCCACGTCTTCTTGCACTCCCTTCATCTCCCACATCGGGTCGGGTCCTCCGAACCTCCTGAAGGATTGAGTCTCAAGCACTCGTCTATGGTTCATATCTTCGGAACAGTCCCACACAAGAACATGATGATATGACATGGCTTCGAAACTGAATGATGGTTGCAATCTGGAGCACATCCCAAAAAATGAGAAGCCATTGGCATGCTTGGCGGGGGCGGGAGTCATATGAGGCAAGCAAGCATGAGCACAAGCATGCTACTGCCTCGGAGCTTCGTTTCTTACTGCAGACCAATCTCACGAAAGCTTGTAGTGTATGGCTTTGCTGCTCACATCAGAGTTCAGAGTTTGTGGCCAGATGCTTGCTTTGCGTTGTATGTTTACGGAAGTTTCTCTCCGCTTTTCTGGGTTCCCTGGCCATCTCGCACTGCCTCGCACACTCTTCAGGATCTCATGGAGCTATTCTGCGCGCGCCAGCGTCGAAAGTTCAGCCGCGGGATCAAGCGCAAGCCCTGGACTTAGTCACACACAGAGTGTGTTGCCATTATGTAGAGGAGTTTCCACCGTGCAAAATCCAGAGCACCAGACCAGAAAAGGCCCCCGTGTGCCCATGTATGAACCAACATACTAGTACAAACGACCCGACATGACCCAACGACGAAGGATTGCAGCCTGCATCTCAGGCCGATCACCGTGCTCAAGAAACTGCGAAAGGCTGGCAAAAAGCACAACCTTCCCTTCACTACCCGATCGCCGGATCCATCGCCTGGCCAGGCAAAGCGTGAGACTGCCTACGGGGAGAAGCCGGAGGCAGTGAAGACACACCTGAGAAACATGGTCATCGTGCTACCTGGATCCGTTTTAGGCAGTCAGTGCTGAGTGTGAGGGGCAGGAACAGCTTTGCCGCACCCGGAGAAGCCAAGGCCAGAGATGATCGGCCCCTTGACACCGTTGACACGTGGGAGTCTTGGAACTCGGGCTCGCGGAAGAGAGCTGTGAACTAAGGGAGCGTGGTTGGCGTTTACAACGGCAAGCAGTACATCAACGTGGAGATCAAGCCAGCAACTCGCCCAAACATCATGACTAGTTCGTGTCGAATCCTGGTTAGTCTCAGTTTGTGACGCCTGAGGAGATGATCGGACACTACTTGGGAGAGTTTTCGATTACCTACAAACCGATCAAGCACGGCCGCGCGGGGATGATGGGCAAGAACTCCCAGTTCGTTCCGCTCAAGTGAGGCGACATGAAAGCTCAATCTCAGTGAAGGCGAAGGCGGTAAAAGGCCGGCACGAGTCGGGGTGCTGGTATGGTCTGGTGCTACCACGGACTTTGCTTTTGCTTGATGTTTGGATTCTTTGGACCTCCATGACACAGAGACCGATAACATCGATGACACGAGCCACACACAACGCCAAAAAGCAAGGGCTGCATGAGCTGCATGTTGGTGCCAGACCCTTAATTCAGCACTCCGACTCCCACCAGGCCCCGTGCGCTAAGTTACTAAACAAAAGCCTCTGATACCGACATGCTGGGGCTCCATGGCTCTGGCGGCAAACGGTAGGAGCCCTAGCGTTGGTGGGAGAAGCTGCACCCCGAAACGGCGCATCTGCCCAAACTGCCCAGGTGGTTCAGAGGCGGCTTCCTGGCCTTCTTCCTGGCCGCTTTTGCAAGAATTGGCTAAAATTGGCTTCCTCATGGACGGATGTTGCCGGTTGCCTGCGTTTGTTGCATGATTCATGCTTTTTCGCTAAGCCTTGGAAGGCTTATCCCTAGGCACTAGGTGCATGGCCGTCCACATTTCTGCTCAAAGTTGGCATCCGAAACGGAAGAACGAAGTGGGCCGGCAACAGAAATGGCTGCGCCAGCCCCATCTGGCCCATCCCGCAGTTTCACGTAGTTTCAGCGTGCCATGCGGAAACCAGCGAGGTTTCTCAGCGTGTTGGTCCTCGGAAGGCTGAAAGCGCATGCAGAAGTATCGGATGGATTCGTGTTGTTACCATCCTTGGTGGAGACTGAAGCCTCCACGAGCTCACCTCAGCCTCAGATGCCACGAGACTTGGCAGCTTGCGCTTTTCCAATTGTTCCGCTATCGTGAGCATGTGTTGTTTGCAACCTGCAAGGATTGGACCTCCTTTCCATGGGATCAGATTCCCAGAAAATCGGTGACCTCGAAACATGGGTGATGTCTATGGTTGGGAAAGTGGAAATGGACAATGCTACCGTCGGATTCATTGATCAAATCCGACAGATGGTGGAAGACATGATACCCCAGGTATTGAACCGGAGTGCAGCTTCGGTCCAGGAGTTGAGGCGTCTACTCGAGGCCTTCACGCATTGCCGTTTGGAAAAAGTACTCCAAGAGGACCTGGCAGAGCTGCAAGAACGCCACTTGTACTGCAGGGGGAACGAGAGCCGCCAGGCAATCGCAACTGCAGAGGCCAGTCAGACTTGGTCCGCCAGTGATCTTGCAGCCTTGCTGCACTTGCTGCAAAAATCTGCCGTGCCCATCTCACACAGCCTAGATTGGGAGCTCAGGTCAAACAGTCGGAATGCACCAAGTTCGTGGCGATAGACCAAATCCCGTCCCATGATGAGTGCGGAGTGCCGCAACATCCTGACACGATGCGATACTATGCAGAGGCATTGAGAAACAAGTTCAAAGACAAATATGACGAGCCTCCCGGCGGCAAGCAGGAGGGAAGAGTGCAAGATCGAGGGGTTCCCACCGTTTGGGCTTTGCTGTGTCGAGAGGGAGTTGGGAGATCGCAATGCTTTTCGCTGAGACGCCACGTGCACACTGCATCTTGTGTTCGGGGCAAGTTTATTTCTTCCGATTTGCATAGATGCGAGGCCAGGCGATGGCATGCCTCCCTTCTTCGCTTGGTTCTTTCTCTTCCCTCCGACGCCCTTGAAGGGTTGCAGATGTCTTTGCCGACATTTGCCAACCTTGAATCTTGTAACCCCTGAGCCGCATGCACTGTGGCGACACGACCTCGCTGAGGTTTGCTTCTTCAGTGATTGCATTCTCGTCTCCTCCTGGTCCTAATCGTTGTTATCGCCATCGTCATCCGAAGCAGCAGCATCCGCCACATCTGCAGCAGTACAATCAATCAAAATTGTTCACAATTCGCATCGTCAGCCTTGCCGTCGTCGGCATCACTACGAGCGCCACTAGGAACGTGCATTCGAAACAACGGGAAGGATGCGGAATGACAAGAACAGGGGCCCTTCAATGTCTGCTCTTGGCGTCGATTTCTTGGCTTCTCCTTCTTTCTTCGGTTGGCCTAAATAAAGAGAGCATAAGCACGAACAAAGGTATGCACACCTCCAATCCGAACTGAGTTCACAAACGAAACCCTACCTAAATTACCGCAGTGCCAACATCAGTGGCTCACGGGCCTTAGACGCACAGGGCAGTATGCAACAGTTGCCACTCGCATCGTTCTAGCTGCGGAGCGGGACCCCCGTCTGGCCCGGATAGGAACGTGGCTGTTGCCGGGAGTGGCAAATCCTAGTCTCACGCAACTGTAGAGGAGTCAAAGCCGAAGCCCTATTTGATACCTCATAGGACTGAGACGCGAGGCGGCCAAAGCGGTCCCAAGAGTTTTGGAACGGTTGAGAGCCAGTCCGGCGAGCGATGGCCATGGCTCCGCAACGGTTTCAGAGCATGTAGTCGCGTGTCTTTACAGAGCCTTGTTTGCCATGTCCCAGGTTTTCGAGAGTCTGACTGCCAAGGTGGGTTCGAAGGAGAGAAAGCTGTGATACGGCTGCCAACAGCACGGAGTCGCTTCGACTCAGGAAAGCTGCTTTGGAGGAGTCCTGCTTCAGCCACTCCTTCGACACTCGAGCATGGCATGTGTCGGTCGCAGCCAGGAGCAACAGCAGCAACTACGAGCCATTTGCAATTCGCTTCAGGAGTGGAGTGATCTGTTTGGTTCTGCTTTAGCAGGCGAGGCCCTGCCGTCGAGAGCGTCGAGTTGACAGCAGGTAGAGTGCGGGTGGAGCTTGCAAGCGAAACCGTCAATGTCCACGAGCACGTGCTCGTGAGCGCAGGACGAGCTGGATCATCGCATTTGTGGAGGAAAGGTTGCTGCAGAAAGGCGCTGCCACAGCTACGAGGCCTGGAGTTCCAGTTTCTATCTGCCTTGTAAGCAGGGAGATGTAGATGTCGGCTTTTTGACGACAACCGTCAATGCACTTTGCAGTAGCTTGGTGATGAAGCATGAGGAAGCCATATATCGAGGAAAGCAAGGATTCAGGAGCTCTGCAAGTAAGAACGGCACAGGGGCAGAAAGTTGCCAGACTCTGACAGAGTTCCTTTGAGCCCTTCTCCCTAAATTACTTGTCTACAACGCCGGGTATGCTTGACAGAACCGGACCTTTGAAACGTGTCCTCTATCCATTCGTGCCTCATATCTTCTGCCGCAACATTCGCGACTGCATTGTCAGAACTGGCCAGTCGAAGATGTAAATTATGGGGAACGCTTGCTGGCAGGACGCCGCATGGAAGCTTGGGCTAGGATCCCCGCAGAAGCTGTCGTGACCCCACCCCCAATGCGACAGTGGCACACCTAACAAATAAAACAAAAGCTTGATTTCTTTCCGGGTTTATCGTGAGAACATGACCGAGGTGGTTAATCATTAGTGTTCGCTTTCCATTGTTCAGGATGCTCTGTCAATGTATATCTTGTAGAGTGCCGTGTACACGGCGACATTGTCAGAAAATTAGAACAGAGCCGGTTCTGTCAACATCAATGTTGAAGAAATCCGAAGGCTTAAAGTTTTAAAGTCTGGAGAAGTTGCTGCATCCTGCCGTGGTGCAGGAGTGCTATGAGCGAGCCCGGGCAAACTTCCTGGAGCAGAACAAGACAGTGGCAGCTTTGGAGAAAGAAATGAAGCAGGAATATCGCGCATTGAAGCGGATCATTTGCATCCTCAAAGCCTTCGAAGGCGCCCCCATCGGCGCCACGTTCTAGCTATTCTAGTCTTCTTAGACATACTGACGATGCCAGCTGAAGGCGGTGTTGAAGAGAAGGAGCTGGAAGTGTGCAGATCGAGAACTGTGAGCCTTGGTTTGGATTGAGGCAAAGGCAAGCCAGTATGTTTAAGCCTGCCAGCCTGCCCCAAATTGAAATTGGTGCCGTTTCTGCTCCACAGGTCGGCGATGTGACAAGTTTTGGCAATTGGCAATCGCGGTAACGAAAATTTCAGCAGCAGCGGTAATCCCCGCAGCCGAAACTCGTATCCGTGTTCCAGGTCGAACCAGACCGTTGACGTTCCTGTACTTCTCCATTGATATTGCTTGTAGTCAGGGAGGATGTCATCCTTGAAAGTCTTTCATTGGCAGGTGTGCCTGCCGGGAAGGCAGGAGGAGGGGGCAAATCGTTCCTTCCCGCCGGATCCAGCAACCCTGCAAAAGCCAAGCCTCGCTAGCCCAGCCTTTGCACTCTATTTAAGACTGCTCCTCCTTAGGGTTGGTGCCGCTGCATCTCAAGCTTTAGCGATGGTAGAAACTTGAACATGAGAAAGAGCAGCCTTAGACAGACAGGAAGGAAGATCTATGTCAGCGTAGACCAACAAGTGGAAGGACACCCAGTAGTCCATGCCCGACGTACCCAACACCATGTCTCCACCACTCCTCAGGCTCCCAACACCCCTCATAGGTCCAAATTGTGCACGATACTGCGGCAGAAGCACGATTGGCACCCCAGAAAATGTAAGTCGCACCCCAAAATATGCACGGGACTCTGGCGGAGTCAAGATGCACGCGACGGTGTGGCAGGCGCACCTTTCGGGAAAAGGAAACACGCATGGATGTGGTGCAACAGCCAAAATACTCTCGGGCACTACGGAACGATTCATCAAGTCCGAGAGCACCCAAGTCCAGGTTTTGCATGATTTTGCAATGATAGCCAAAGAAGATATCATCAGGTTGCGAAGCACGACAAGCGAGTTCAAGCTCAGGAACCTTGATCCTGTGGGCATCGACTGGACTCCATTCAAGATTCTGCCGCCGCAGACTACGTGTTGCTCGGCATCGTCGTCGATGTTGGACAGCACGATGCAGCATGGCAGGATCCGGCAGTGTCTTTCTTTGCGTTGTGCTTCATTCGCAGGTTCTGCAAGAAAGTTGTGGCCGTGGCCCAATGCTTCGTCCGCGGAGTATGCCGCCGATGTGTACGGGTCAGTTCCCACCGACGTGGCGCTTAAAGAATGTAGCGCTGTACCCTGCTGCCAGACGGTGTACAGTTGAGACTAGTGAGTCTGCAAAGTGTGCAGCGACGCGTCGCGGGCACAAAAAGCGATCATGCATCGTCACATCTCATGCATCGAGCGGCCTCGCGCCAGCCCAAAGGAGCACAGTTTACAGTAAGGTGCACGCATGGCACGCGCGTGTTGGGTCGTAAGTTGTTTAGTCCTGGCACAATCACAGCTTCTCACTGAGGCTGCGGCCGCTTGGATGTGCAGAAAGCCAGCTGCAGAGAGGTACATCAGCTCAGCAGTAAGTGCTTTGTTTGGTGTGAGTCTCGTGCGGCGTTTTTCCTTCGCACCGGCTATGGAAGCTTTTGTGCGTAGCCCTCATTGTACCTCATGTCTGCAGCCTGTGGCCCAATGGAGCCTAGTGGCGACATGGCCCTGGCACCTTACCCCTGCTGCATACCGACTCTGGGGATTGCCAGTGAATGAGACGAAGGTGGGCTCATTTGAGACCTGTGTTGGCTACTCTTACTCTGTGCATGTGCAGGTCCCTTGTGCTTCTGCTCATCTGGTTCATCGGCTCCTTCGCAGCATCTGGTGCAATGAAAAACTCTGCAGTTGAACAATTTGAGCAGTCGCATCCTTGAGGGCCCGAAGACATTCGAAATGTTGCCATTCAATGATGATAATCATGTGGTGTGCCCATTGTGCACATCCGACACCGTCCAACAACGTTTGAGATGTCATAGGCAGACACCATGACCCCGTCATACATTGGCGCCGCGAATCCCTTTTCGGACTACCTTTAACTGCTGATAAGCATGGCATGCTCTTAGCTTAACAGAAACGTGCCAGATTCCTTTTGATGCGTTCCGGCTCTTGGAGATTCCATTACAGGTCGGATTGTCACGCATCTCCCCGGTCCCGGTGCCTTTTTTAACTGTTTGCGCCGCTTGTTCCTCACTGGATCTCCCGAGGGCAGCGTATGTGTTGGGAGGGTCGGACTTTCTGCAGAGCCCTTGTGAGAGAAGGGGCGTTCCGAATCAGCGAAGCCTCTTGCGGCTGCAGTTCCGACGACTTCAACGTCAACCTGTGGCGATGCTTCTCCTGCTGCTTCAGGCCAGGCTTTTCGAGGACTCAAATAGGTTTTAAGTTTCTGCGAGCTGCAGCATAACGTATATGTAATTAGCAGGTTGATTGAACTGACATAGTTTCAGAGTGTCCATTGTGAAACCGGGCTGTTTCATCTGAATACCAAAGCATCGCAGAGCTGCATTGCCGGGATTACAGTCGCCTCTTCCTTTCTGCAGCTCGCAGGCCACAAACTGTTGCAGCGTGCCACGCAGCTAGGTAGCTCGGTCTGGAAGAAGAAGAGCCTCCAACTTTCAGTCATTTGCAGTTGCCTTGCTGTTTGTACGTGCATAGCATCAAGAACGCACATGTTACACGCACCACTCCCACCACAGCCGAGAGCGTCGTCGCCGCTTGCAATGCTCGCTCGCGAACGCGGGCAACCGCATCGCGTGGTAGCTCGACATGCCGGGTTCAAAATTCCGAGGTGTTGAAGCTTCCAGTTCTCCCTCGGTGATCTCCCTTGGTGGTCCGGGCTGCCCTTGCATTGGCCTGGACCAACTAAGCGGGAGTCTTGGACCTGAAGCGCTGCCATGAGCTGCCCTCAGAGTGTACTAAGTTAACTAAGTGTACTACACAAGTCTTCTGTCAAGGACGGTGAAGTCTCCAAGCAAGAATTCGACCTCGGAGGCAACGGAAGGGCTGGGAAAATATGCTTTCGAGCCAACGTGCTAAACACGTAAAGCAAGCTATCAGAGCCGTCGAATCGCGCCAGGGTGCGATGTTTGACATTAGCCCTCAGGCATACCCAGCTAGCATCGGCGCCCACTGTGACATCTGGGACAAGTGCCTTGGCCGAAGTTGCATTGGGAAAATACGATTTGCACGGACCTCCGCATGGCATCACTTACTAGCATCTGATCGGAGTGTCCATATTCGCCACGCTCTCCAAGTTCAGAGACGCAGATTGCATGTCCAAGGTCTTGCAGGTCGAAGTCAGCCACTCGTCGTATGAACGAATGGTATCCTCCACATATATACTTTGTTCGAGGCAGCAATTGACCCCTTGGTTGCGTAGCTGGCAAGGATGCATCCTGCTGGACGGCACAGGAATCGTGGTGCTTCGTGGATCCATGCAACTGTGGCTTGACTGCTTCGGCCGTTGTTGCTCGTTCGAAGTTGAGGTGTACCACATGTAATGTGTGCAGGGACAAGCCCGTCGTACGACGCACCTGCCGCAGCTGCTGTAGGCTCTGCGTCGCCCGACGAGTTTCAGCTTTTCGACTTAGCCTTCTGATCGATGCCACCTCGTCCTCCGCGACGGCTGCCCAGATCTCGGCCGCCTTCGAGACGATCCAGGCGGCGCTCGACAACCAGATCGTCATCGACTACCACATGGGCAGCGGGACGGCGGTCGTGGCGATGCAAACCGCCGTTCACAGCTGGAAAGAGCAGCAGCAGGGCGCCGGCATCGGCGGGATGGCAGTCGTGACAGGGCATGTCGTCCGCCGTGTCGGTGGCTTCCAGCCAGCCGGCCCTGGAACCACGGGTCACGGGCGCCACTGGGCGACTTCGGGAAAGCACCGTCGGCCATCATCTGCACCCAGACCGGCTTCCAGTGCGAGGCCGACGCCCAAAGGCAGAGGCCCCGGCGACGGGCTAGCAGCTGGCGTTGACTGGCGCATCCGCGGCGGCTGGCCCCCGAAGGGCCGCCGGACGATCTGGCTCTGCCGAACGAGCAAAACAGCATCTATCTCCCGTGCGAGGCCATGCAACATTGTGCTTCAGGCGGATGCCGTACAAGCTGATTGGGGGAGTCATCATCCACTTGGGGCCCACGCCCCAAAGTGGCCACTACCGTTCCTGTCTAGCTCACCGAGCTTCGGCCTCCTCTGGAGAGCCTCGAAGACGATGGTGGCATGTCGTACATAGTCGCGCATGGTACAAGCACTTGCTCTGCGAACTCAAAGTCAAAAAGTCTCTCTCTCTCTTTCTCTCTCTCTCTCTCTCTCTCTCGCCTCTCTCTGTCTGTGCTGACTGTTGAGTCTCGATGTCCCTTTTCACTGTCTTTCTCTAGAGCTTAAGCATGGCAGAACGCAAGTGGAGCTCAGGCAACGCGTCGTCACGACAACATCCGAAGTGGCAGGGGCTCCTCTGGCAAGGCCCGCAAGCCTCTGCTCCCCTTCAGTCAGCAGTGAACGGAAGGACCGACGGACGAGTCGTCAGAGTTTTGAGGTCACCCCGTGTACGCCTCTGCCGCAACCTGCACCTCGAACCAAAGCGTCAAGGAAGGCAAAAAAAGATGCAGCTTGTGTACCAATCACGCAAGTGCAGTGAGTTCGTTCCGTGTGACTTCGTGTGCTGCAGCAGGTGGGCCTTTGCTTTCGGCTTGCAACGCGAACCAATTCCAGAAGGATGTTACATCCCAGCACCATAATTATGGTAACGTGTTGGCGTCCAATTGATCAGGACTTGATGGGCAATGCGAAATGCAAGTGCATTGGAATCGCTGGGCTTAGCGGAGATCTCCGGGTCAATATCTCAAATCAGCAGCCACCTGCCCAAAAAGACGAGGTGTGCGAATATCAGCTTCCAGCCTCCGACCTCCGAGGTTTCGCTTCCCGGCCGATCTGGGCTCCAGTTGCCAAAGCTGGGACGACGGGCGGCATCCAGACTGTCAGAAACCAGAACAGCCCGGCTGGTGCCATGGAGACCGAGAGAGCAGAGCACACACAGTGGAAATGGAATCTTAGTGTGAGGTGCCATCGGCAGTGGTGCTACGTGGACCCCTGCACATGCAACATCGAAGAGCTCCCAAAAGTGCTTTGGATGCGAAGATGTTGCGGCCTTGCCCTCTCGTATCCTCTCCTGCTAATTTTTCGGGCCATCCATGTGGACTTCGACCTGCAAGCGGCAAACCTTGAACAAAAACCCAAAGCAGAGCAATGGCCAAGACCCAGCGCATCCCAGAAGGAGTCCGCGCCCGCGGTTGCACCCCAGATCCGAAACCGAAAAGGAGCGAGTTGGCGATTTCGGCCAACTCTCTCCGCCGCTAGGAGGGCAAGGTCGCAAGGTGAAGGCCCTTCAAGAACTGAGATGGCGTTCCTCTCAAATTTCTTTCAAACTTGGCTCGGTGCTCGGCATCAAGCCTGGCCCGATTAAGTCGAGCACGACCACCTCGGCGACTTCTCCCTCCCTTATGCCACGCGCTTCCGAACTTGTAACGACATGAAAAGCAGAATCACACATCCTTGGACAATGCTCGGCAACTTTCGGTGAACAGTTGTGTTGGACAACGCTTCCACCACCAGACGTCACAGAGCACTTTCATGAAAGTGTTGCATTCATCAATTCCCTGACGGCTGCTTCTAATGTGGGTGTCCAGCGATTTCTTAGAAGCTCGGACTGACGATTCGCTCTCACCCGGAGTCTCACCCGGTTCAGCTTGGGGGGAACTCTCACATGAATGGCGAGTGAAACGGGGCTTGGTACCCTGTTTGAACTTCATACTCAAAGGCATGTGTCACTGGAGAGCGTGTCCATTCACCCTCGGACTAAGGTGTCGACTTACTTCCCGAGGGCGAATTACCGCAAGAAAGCCTTGTACTACTCCTACGCCTCTTGCCGATATGGAAAATTACATACCCGGCTCTTGCAAGCAACTGCAGAGTGATGCTTATAGACTGCAGTAGTGAAATGCAAGGAGGCCTGCCACTCCTTCGACACATTCACCTACGACTCGCACTCTGCCTGTGTGAACCAGGACTTGCTCCCTATGCTGCCGTTTTCGTAATCGCACACAAAGCAGCTTCTGCTGTCGGGGCCATGAGGATACATTGACGTTCCGTTACGTCCCCCCCCCATAAATAGCAGCAGGTGGCGATGGGTGTGAGTAACTACCTGCGTATGTGGGTATACTATGCCTATGTATGTGCCGCATGATAGCGTGCATCCATCCCCGAGCGCATATGGGTCACAAGAGCATACGAGGCGATCGTCGATCATGTCATACTCCAGTTCACATGCACGCATATCCATCCATCCAAGCATCCAAACATCCATCAATCCAGACATCCATCCAGCCGAGCAGCCAGCCGCCCATCCCTCCATCCATCCTCCATCCATCAAGCGATCCATCCATCCATCCGTCACACACTCGTACGTGCATGCCTGCTGGGGGTATGTGCGAACGGAGGTAGTTACCCGCCCTCATTCAGCGTCGCAGGATGTTGCAGGTACGTACGCGTATGATCGGCTATGTACCTAATATCAGAAAGGTCGATAAATTAGTTTATCTATGGTTACTGTACGTGAAGGTGCAGGAACGTACGCGCGTATTGTCGGTATTGCAGGTACGTACGTACATGGGTAATATAAACATACAAACCTGCATGCCTACATCCATGCCTGCTGCATACACATAATCATTAGTTAATTCGAGGAACTAGCTAACATAATCGCCTACGTGCATGTGCGACCGAAAGCACATAATATGTGCTCTCTTGATGTTCGTATGCACATACATACATGGGGCCACATACATACATGCATACGTACGTACATACATACATACGTACGCACATACGTACATACATACATACATACATACATACATTCATACATACATATATACACACGTGCATACATACATACATACATACGTACATACATACATGCTCGGACATGTACTTCCCTGTACACACATGTACGTACGCACGTATTTATGCCCAACCCTTTTCTCTGCCACCCTCAAGGAGCATTCGGCGTCGCAGGTGCGTACTGGTACATACATACAAGACATACATAAATACTTACGTACTTACCTACGTACAGACATACATGCCTACTCGGGCATGTGCATGCACGTACTTCGAGGCCCGTGGAGCATAAGTGGACGCACAGGCAAAAGACAGAATGTACGTACATACGAACGTGTGCGAACTATGTGCTTACGCCCTCAACACCTCCCCTTGCCCCTTGCCCCCTCCATTTCGAAAGAAAAATCGGCGTTGTAGGCACGTATATGCATGCATCATGCATACGGACATGCATACCTGGTTCGGACGTACGGAACCCCAGCCCGGGGCCGGTTCTTACTGGTCGGGGCAGTTGCACAGCGGAAGCAACCTGGCCCAGACAGAATTTGGGCATAGATTGTCAAGTACAAGTAAGTGCGAGTGGCTAAAGGCTGGAAACCTGCGATCCTTTTTGCTGAGTCCGTGCAGAGGGCAGGAAAAAATGCACAAAGTAAGGCAAGGCCAGGGCAGGCAATTTCAAGCGCATTTGGCCTCTGCATGTTCAAAAGATGGCCAGCATCTGCGCATCGCCGTGAGCAGATCTTCGGAGGGGTGCCCCTTCCTTTCCTGCTCGAGTCCGTGTCGGGCTCACTTCCTCTCGTACCTATAGTTTCGCGTTGCCCAGCACAGTTGAGGTAGCTCATTTAGTCTTTTGCTGAAGCCGAGCTAAAGCTGGCAGATGCTTTGGCTGCGTGACCGCATTCTAACGACAGTCTCTTGGGAGCTATCAGAGTCTGCATGTTCTATAGGAGACAGAGGCAAAGTGCTTGGCACTGGGCGGTGACCCCGATGACCCAAAGATTCGCAAGTGTGTCTGACACTGAGTGGGGCACAGCTCTTGTGTGGCTTTAGCGCACTCATCCTCCAAGGCGTGGGGTGGTCCAGAGACACTGGTCTGAGTAGATGGAGGGAGAAGTTGTCCGGCGTAGCTCAGTCCGTGTGCCAAAGTCTGCTTTGAAGATTTTGGGCAACTTAGGATCAAATGTTTGGGCAAAGAGCTACTGCACGTTTGCCAGGTGAGCGGCACCTTGGAAGCAAGCCCGCTAGGAAGCACGAGCACTTTCATGTGCGTTTGAATTGGCCTTGAGGCAACTTGCTAGCCCGTGGTATCGTTGAAGCTTAATGGGCATAGGCTTGGCAGCTGACAACCTTGTTGAGCTACTAGGGGACAATCCGCATGTGTAGTGTTCACATGTGCGAGTGTGTGACGGTCTCCCATGGCACTGAGATGAGACACTGAGCGACTGGTCCTGGTGGTTGTTCAACCGTGAATCATCGGACGATGCCAGGACAAGTCTGAGTCCGGTGTTCATGATCATGTTGTGGAAGCATCGTCTCTTGTGGAGTCCCTCGACAGAAGAACTTGGCCCCTGATTGCGAGAATACATGTAATGGAATGGCATCAACCAGGCCTATTGAATGAGACAAGATGCCAAACAGGAAAAAACCGAAACAGCAGCGACGACCAGCAACGAGCCTACGAGCAGTGGCAACCAACAACAACACTCAACCAAACCTGCCGACGACGACGACCACCGCCATAGCGGCAGCAGCAGCAGCAACAGCAGCACAAACAAAGGTTATCATTCTTGCTTCTACCACGACCACCACCACTACCATTACCATTACCATTGCCATTAACACTACCACTAGCACTGCTGCTACTACTACTACTACTACTACTGCTACTGCTACTGCTACTGCTACTGCTACTGCTACTACGACGACCACTACTACTTCCGCTTCCGCTTGCGTCTCCACTTCCACTTCCACTTCCAATTTCACTTCCAAAGCTACTTCTACGAATATAAAAATACACTTGTTAACAACAATAACAACAACAAAAAACATAACAGTAGCAATAGCAATCACAATCACGTTCGGAATTACAAGAACAATAGATGAATGTAATAACCAACAATAATCATCACCACAGTAGTAATAATCATCGAAATACTAATAGGAATAGATAAACAAGCGAAACTGTAAACGCAACAGCAATACTTAGAAAATAGAGAATACAAAATAATCAGAACACGACGTCTGCTCCAAGAACGGTGCTGCAAACTACAGTAGACTGAGAAAAACCATAGACTCATAGAAACGTGTGGCCAACACCCAGTTTTCGACATCTGGTCGACATGGCTTTGCTTGCAACGGTTTACAGACGGTTTAGGGTTTGGGGTTTAGGATTTAGGAGAGTACACAAGAAGGTTCGGCCCAATTTGAGGGCACGCTTCATTCCCCCGTGACCATGTAGATGTCTCCAGGCACCGCAAGAAAAGGAAGCATCGCAAAAAGCACGCGTTGGGCATGCCCGACAACCTGAGAATCGGAGGTGTGTGAAACACTCAGGTCACCGAAGATTTCGGGTCGCGAAGCACAGAAAGAGCCGAAATACACTGTAAATGGAACTTGCGCTGGTGCGTTTTCATTCTGGCGGAGAGATTACTAGCGTTCTGTTGAGTATTAGCTTATTAGCATTGCTTGCGTTTCATCACCCTCATCCCACTGTCCTTTCCCTCCTGGACTCCTGGTTTGTTTTGCAGTAGAGGTCCTGAACCCCCTTTATTGCCCGTATAGAACCCTGGCAAGCTTTGTGAAACTTTAGGAAACCCCTCCCTAACCCCCAAAACCCTAAACCCTAAGGCGAGTCAGTCCCTCAAATCCCTAAACCCCTAAAACCTCTAAATCCCTAAGCCCCTAAAACCCATACACCCAAAGCCCCTAAAACCCCTGCATCCCTAAACCCCTAAGAACCCTGCAAAATCCCTTATAGAACCCTTATACATCCCTTTAAAGGGCCCTAAACCGAAACTCTCTGCAGGCGCACTCTTCGACCTGGTTGTTGATGATATCTTCGCCTGCTGCCCGCAGGTTTACAGTTTGGGGTTTGGGGTTTAGAGTATAGGGCTTTAGGCTCAGATTTTGGGGTTTAGGGTTTAGGATTTAGGGTTTAGATTTTAGGGTTTAGGATTTAGGGTTTCGGATTTAGGGTTTAGATATTGGGGTTTCGATTTTAGGGTTTAGGGTTGAGGGTTTACGGATGAACGGAGATCGGAGATATGACAACTTGGAAATCGACCAGGGTTCCGGGTTTTGGTCGTGCCGCTTAGTCGGTGGAGTCGGGCGGATACGACGCACGTTGCAACAGCAGGGCGAAGTCAGAGCAGATCGTAATGAGAGATGACTTAACCGTTTGGGGATACACTTCAGGCAGACCTGTTGGTGCTGATTAATGGGAATTTCCAGCAAAGATTCTTCCAAAAAAGCCCTGAACCCTCAACCCTAAACTCCCTGAACCCTACGTAACCCTTAACCTTAAACCCTAGACCCTTGACCCTTAACCCTAACCCTTAACCTTAAACCCTAGACCCTTAACCCTTAGCCCGTAACCCTAAATCCTTAGCCCGAAACCCTAAACCCTAAACCCGAAAACCCCAAACCCTAAACCTAAGGACTGCCCCGTGGGCCTCGAGGAATTTGAACCACCACTTCCTTGTCTGCGACACGCACCTGGGGCAAGCACCGAATAAGGCGTTGAGGCTACATTTACATGGTTTTGCCCTTTGGAACACTAGGCAATGAACTACAATAGAGTACAATATGTATGTATATGTAGAGATATAGATAGTATATCAAGATGTATCTAGAACATTTATATGTATATATATATATTATGCTTATGACGACGAGGACGGTGCTGACGATGACCGATGCCGACGAAGATGACGCCGACACTGACGATGTGGAGGATGATTTCAGTATGATAGCGGTGGTGTTGGTAAGCAGACGGAGGATGCATACGAGGACAGCGACCAGACTCCGGATGAGGACGCAGCTTTCAGGATTTTGGGGTTTAGGGTTTAGGGGCTCTGATACCGGCCCTTTTAACAACTCTGCTCACGCACCCTGTTGGGCTACGCAAAGTCCCATGTATAGCAGCCGGCACAGGACACGAAAAGCATCGTCGATTCCACCGCTACTTTTTGCACAGCCGTGAGGGAAGCCAAGAAGAGGGTAGTCAATGAATCATTGGAATCTCCAAGCATATCCCGAACCTAAACCCGAAACCCTACAGTTAAGCCCTAAACCCTAAACTCGAAACTCTAAATCCTACACCCAAACCTGGAGCCTTGCATGCCAGCACACGTGGGGTGAAGGCTGTGGCGACGGGCGCACACGCGCCACCACTGAGATATGCTCCTTCGACAAAGGGTTTGGGGTTCAGGGCTTCTCGAGTTTGGGGGTTTAGGCTTTTGGGTTTGAAGGCTTTGGGCTTTGTGTTTTGGGTTTTTGGGGTTTAGGGTTTAGGGTTTGGGGTTTAGGGTTTTGGGGTTTAGGGCCCAAG